ACTGTTAGCGATAAGATATTAGACCAAGTGGATTAATATAAATATAGCCTGAACTACTGTCAGACAACATCTTCTGGCCAACATCGATATCAGACGAGCAAGAGTGGTGCTGTATTGATTATAAGCATGGCTCTGATTACCTGTGATATTCAGTACAACAGCACAATTGCGAGTGCGATATTGATTTATACAACAGCTCTGTAAACAAAATGTAATATCAAGTAAGTGACACTTCAGACACAATGGCCTAGTATTTTGTTTATTTTTGCTCTGTCATCAAAAATAGTCGGGAGCTGGATAGAGCATTGTGTGTGTGCAATGCACAGACTGACTGACAGCCTGTAGTAAGTGCAGTAACGGTTTTATTCTATTGCTAGAATTGAAATTTTATGTAGCGAACACAGACAAACAAAGTGATACACACAGTGATGTACCAGTACTCTTGGAATCACTCTTGGAATGCCACTTACCCAGTCAAATTATTGGACTGGAAATAAGTGTTGTGTAAATTAATATATGATTATTTATAATTATATTTCAGTAACATACTACTGTACATTACAAACATATGAATGTGCTGTTACCACATTCAACAGTATTTTTTAGATTATCATTATATCTGACAAATATCGATCAAACTTAATTTCCAGAAAGGTGGAGAAGTGACTGATGGCCCTGTGGTGGCATCCAAGCCACCACAGGGCCATCAGTCACTCCTCCACCTTTCTGCCTCTACAGGCACTCAGACCTGCCTGCCTGACGTTAATCTTTCATGAAGTGACATTTGTGAAAATGTCTTGAGATGTCATTTTTGACAAAAGTCCAGGCACCAGGGTCAGTGGCTTTCAGGCTAGTCTACTGTAGCATCACTGCTGACTCTCCTGTCCTTGGCACGGATTATCGGTAAAACTGATTCTGAGTTTGCTCATACTGAGAAATACAAGAGTAATACCTGCTGCTCTCTTTTTATCGGAAGAAAATATCTCTTCCCCCAAGTACCTTACCATTTTAATGATATTCAGTAAATTATTTAATTATGTTCTGGGTGTTTAAACACTCAGGGAAAATGACAATTTGTCCCTAATTTGTTGAATATAAACTGGTACATATGTACCACAAATCACTTTAGTAGTTTCTGAAACTACTTTGTATTTGTTTTTACCCATCTGCTTCCATTTGTGAAACTAATTAAAAACTAACAGAGTTTCATATGCTGTCAAGAAATTAATTTGTTTTCATTATCTAATTCTTCTAAGCTGGTGTATACATAGATTTAGCAAAAATACGCACTTCCCTGCTTACCAGCATACCAACAACTGCAAGCTATAAGCTTTACTGCTCCATTTTTGCTCAACCTGTGTCATGAACAGCAACAAGAAATCATATTTGTAAGACAAAACGTCACTGATTAAATGAGCAAATTAGGAGCACAAGTCTTAATTGCAAAGATGATCTTTGGGAATCAGTTGGCAGCTGGTCAGCTCTTCATTGTTTGGGCAAGAAAGTAGAAAGGCTAGATACATGACTATGTGTAGGTCTGTCCAGGTCGTTATATTTAAGCAAAAAAATTTATTCATGCCATGTGATTCTTGTTTATCTCTTGGACCACCTCTTCAAGCCAAACAGGTGAAATAAACTCAAGATTAAACAAACGTTTCACTCAAAAGTAAATAAATAGCATAACATTTGTGCAGAGTGACTTGTACATTTGTACAAAGTTCATCTGCAGTTTGAAGAGGTGGGTGTTTCTGGGTCTTATGACTTCTGAGTCAGTACGAATGTTTGAGTGTGTGTTTTGTTTGAGAGTGGTGTGAGTTTGGGGTGAGGTCATTTGGATGCAGTACCTCTGTCTGGACCATGTTGACCCTACGTGAGCGGAGCTCTCGCACGCAGTTATAGATGTCCACCACACCCTCACGCTCAGCCATGTCCAACATGATGTCAATGACAATAAAGCAGCCCGTACGGCCAGCACCAGCACTGCATGCCAGAAGGACAAATCAAGGACAAATGAATCATCCAGAAAACAGAGTACATGGAACTGTAAGGAGCATAAACCAGTCATTGATTTCTGTTCATATCGACTGACTAAATGCATGTGCGAGATGCACACAGATACAGAATGGCTGCATCATTATCTTCTGACCTGCAGTGGACCACCATTGGGCCAGCATTAGCTGGGCTCTTGGATTTGACTCTGCGGATGAAGCCCAGCAGGCCTGTAGCGTGGTACGGTACTCCATGGTCCGGCCAGCCAGTGAAATGGAACTGCCTGATCTCCCTGATCTCATGAGCTCCTCGCTGCAGTGAACAAACAAGCAAACACACACATACACACACCAAGAGAGTTTAAGAGTGAAGTCTGTTGGCACACTACTCTATTCAAACTCCCACAAGTATCATCTCTAAGCATCTGTGGTGTTTGTGTGTGTCAGTGAGTGTGTGTCTTAAGGTTTGTGCATTTGTGGGAGGATGAGAAGGAGTGAAATACAGCTAGAGGAAAGAAGGCCAGTGATTCACACCCTCACACACATGCACACTGTCACACACCTACACAGGCCCTCTGGAATTTAGTTGCACAAAAAGCAGGAGTTTAATGCAAAACTGGACAGATGTAACAACAACAACAACAACAAAATGTTTGTTTTGTTTTTCCTGTATTTCAGTTTTAAACTGATTCATGAAACTCTAAGCATTTAAAAAATGCTATTTTTTCATTCCATTACAGTCTTTCAATATACGTTTATAATTATATAGAATAAGTTCCCAAATCCAAAATACTAGCCTGTACCTTTTCCACAGCGAAGGTTCGAATGACATATTCTGAGAGCAGCTGTGTTTCGATTAGTGTCACCTTCATGTCTCGGTAGATCTCCGTGTCATCTGGCCAGTACTTGCAACACTTAACCTGAAAGACACACACACACACAGGCAAATGCACGTTAGTAATTCTCCATTAACCAGCTTCCAGTCGTTGCCAAATTACTCAGTGATCCGATAATATCAGCTCAGAGAAACAATCATACTGTGGTGAATAGAGCTACATACTCCATAACTCCTGCAACTTTGGGAAATCCAGTATCATCTTAAAGATTTGTAGATATTTTGCACATAGAATTTACTGAGAGCTTTAAGATGTAAACCATGGAGCACAAAAAAGGCTGTATTCCTTTTCACAAGCCAATGCTCCCATCTTGTGCCCCAGATACATGGAAAGCTCTGGGCCTGATGATCCCCTGACTAATTACCCCCAGTGGCTTGCTCTTGTACTCTCTCATTACCTGGTCCACACTCACAGGACCTGAGTAAAACTGCTATAATCAGGCCAGGCTTCTTCACTGTGAGAAAAACAAAGAGCGCATTTTTATACCACAGCACACTATCTGTATTATTTCCTTGATGTTGCGATTGATCAATACCATTTTGCCCTGAATGCTTTTAGGAGCCTTGGGACTGACTCCCTTGCTTTCCTTCCGTTTGATCATTTACTGCCCTCTTTTCTCATTCACTCACATTATGCTACACTTCCCTTTCTTCTTTATTTGCCTCTGCCACCATTATCATTTTTCTGCCCCTCCATCTTCTTTACTACATTTTCCTACTTATTAAGATTGGGCTAATTGGTGAAATAATTATGGTGTAATGGGTGTTTGGAAACAGCCGTAGTCATTCTAGCTCCGTCTGACGGATCTTGTCAGAAAAACACCGGTAGTGAGATGCTATCTGCACTTCTCTAACTGTCAAAAATGAGATTATGGCTGGAGAATCTTCTAAATGAGGAAGTGTTATTTTGGTAATGATTTGTGCTCATATTTGTCAGATAATTCAGCATAATTTAGGCTTGTCCATGCTGAACGTCTTTCAACCTCTGTTCAGTTCTACATGAGGACCAAAGGTCTTTAGAACGAACTCTCACACATATAACCTCTCTAACACATGCATGATTTTTCCTCATGAGTGAAGTGATTAGGTCTAACTGGTCTACTATTTATCAGTGCGTAACTAAAATTCACTTGGATTTCAACAGTATTATCATTCTGTTTGCACATTAATAACTTATAAATGAGTTAAATGTGATGCTGTGCCAAACCGGCAGAGACCCCTTTTGTTCTTGTCAGATATTAAGAGGGGGTTTTAGAAATCCCATTTGTTCTAAGCCACAGATTTCCACTGGGAATGTTAGGGATTAGTCCTCCACTTGCCATGGGCATCCTAAAGCACAATGATATCACAGTGTTTCAGTCCCACAGTGGATTTCAGCTCCTTTAGCAGCCACCAGATATGCTAACGTAGACAAATCAGGGATGGACATAAGGAAACCAATATCCTGGATTAAAGCATTAGGTATAAACCAAGGATGGCTAGATTCTGTGGCTGTGTAATGTAGGATAAACCTTTGCTAACAATCCAAAAAAATACCTGGAGTCAGACACTTCCATGGTTAATAATCCTCAAATTTCATCTGCAATCCGCATGTAACACAGTTTAAGACAAGGTCTAACACGGTATGGTCACTGAAAACACAAGCAGGCGCTAAGGTGAAAGCACGAGCAGATGCGTTATGTACTATAATACATAATTCAACGCTGTTGAATGCTTGATCCTGATTGGTCAGAAGGTGTTGATTAAGTTTACATAATAGCGTTTGTCAGTAACATGACCATGCATGTTTCACTTCAAGAGAGAGAAAAAAGTGCTGCCATGCCACATGATAACAGGAACTAACTTGTTTCACTGACATTTTACAACACATTTTAAAACACAGCTATAAATTGATACGCAGTATGTTGTTCTTCTTCTTCTTCTTTTGGCTGCTCCTGTTAGGGGTCGCCACAGCAGATCATTGGTCCGCATATTTGATTTGGCACAGTTTTTAAAATTTTATTTATTTATTTTTACACTGGATGCCCTTCCTGACACAGCCCTCCCCCATTTTCATTCTGGCTTGGGACCGGCACTGGGAGTGCACTATGATATGCAACCCCAGCTGCTGGGGTAGGTTCCCTGGCCAGGAATCGAACCCAGGACGCAGCGGTGAGAGCACCGAGGCCTAACCACTAGTCCTCCAGGAACCCAAGAAACAGTATAATGTATAATAATCGTTGATTATTATTTTCTACACATGTTGTGTTTTATTCCTTACCTAGCACAGTTAAATGACATTTACACAACGTATTTCCTTACAAATTGCCCCTAAACACTAATATGACATGTACATCCAGTAGATTAACCATATCAGCCTTCAGGATCTCTGGAGAGGTCTAAACTGTGTTATGTACCGTATGTGAATATACTGTGCATAGATATGTGTTGAGAAGAAGCCAACTAAACTAACTAAAGAGGTTAGTAAAATGAACACATGACGGATCACATGACGTTTATGTGTTTTTGAAGGAGCAGAAAGAAACTGTCCAGCTGAGAAGCAGCTTGGTGTGAATATGGAGGACACAGAGAGGGCTGAGCCCAAATCCCAGAGTTCATCAGCAATGAGACACAGCAGATGGTGGCAATGATGAAACGGGAGGGACGTGATTCGCTGCTGCTGAGACGGATGGCTACTCAGTTAGGCTTGATAAAGAATGCAACAGTCTGCTGAGATATTAGACACAGTAGTTTTAACAACCGAAGCAGGGGACCAGATGTGACGCCAGTGAAGAGTGGCAGAAAATTTGAGTAATGCACTCAGATTTTAACTATGGCAGAGTGTGAACATTGTTAGGCCCCTTGGGATCTTCAACAGTATACAGGTGGACAGTTTTGTGTCTCTTGCTCTATAGTTGGTAAATAACTAATGCTCTATAGTTGGTAAGTAACTAATGCTCTATAGTTGGTTAAATATGCACATGGATACTTAAAGTTGTCATAAATAAGAAAAACACACCAGGTGATGTGAACAGTATGTAGTTAAGAGGTTGCTGTTGAATTTCTAAAACACAAATGCTTATAACAGAGTAGAGCGTTCTTAATTTTGTTTATGGATTTAGCTCAATAGTGGCTATGATGATGATCAGGATTATATAAAATCACAAATATTAAAATTTTTTAGACAAGTTATCATTTAACAGCTTTAAAGCAAGACAAAATAGGCCTTTCAAACTTAGTAGATATACTGTAAAGCACTGCAGTTTACTGATTAACTTACCCTGCCAACTTCCACCAGGTTAGTCACCATGACAATGGTTGCCGTGTTCTCTTGCCACACCATTCTCCAGAAGTCGTAGACTGTTTCCTGCATGGGTCCTGGTACCAAGAAGCCGAGACAGAAGGAGACATTAAAAAAGAGAGGTCAACAAAACATACAGTACACCGATAATGCTTATATAAAAGAAGAGCAGATATTTCTGCATCTATACCAGGTTACCTACAGCACATTCTTCAGAGCAAGAGAATTTTACATGGACATATTGTGTATCAGTACACCTAGATACATGTAAATTAATGCTGACAAGCTTGTGTATCTACATTCCCATTAAGCTCCAAAACACCTTAATAGACCAACATCCAGCAATAAGGATGCAGTGCAAGGAATTAAAATCACACAGTTAATTAATTCTAATTAGCATTGTTTTTAATCAACAGGCGCATTACAAAATGACTTCTGACGAGCTAATTAGCTCATGCAAATCTGTGTGTGCTTTCTCCACTGCTGATGCTTTACCTCCAAGCCAAAGTAAATTACATCATTACAGCCACCAAAAAAAATGAGAGAAAAGAGATTTGACATATTCAAATCCACAAAAAACATCTGCATTACCAAACCCTTGGCTTGCTCTGAAAGCATCCAAAATTACTACTTGTACCAGAGAGTTTTTCTCATTATTGGACTTGTCTGATGTTGTTTATTACATGTACTTACAACAAGAGGTCAGGCTTATTCATGATTTCACTCCTTAATTGCAGAATATATTATACATCATTACATACTGAGTTTAATCAGTTTTATATCGCACATTCAAGTGTGCTGCATGTGGAATTTCTGTATACTTACAAAGGGAAACCAGGAGACACTGATATTGCAAACACACACACATACACACTCTTTATGTGATCCTCAGTAGTCATGATCTTTGACAGAGTCTGACACTTGGAAAGCACTGGATGGGTGCAGGATGAATATTCCAGCCAGGAACAGCAGGTACAAACTGACAAATGCTGCTATAATTTGCTGATACACTAAAAAAGCCCAGTTCGCCTATAAGTGAAGTCAGTCTTCCCTAGTTAGACTGGGAAAATTCCTCTAGCATACAGAAAGGGAAGCACTACAGGAGAGAGTGTGATGGCCTGTAAGACAGCTGCTCTGTCACCACAGGAGGAATGTCTCGCATGGAGCGTCCCAGTCAGTTCCTCTCAACAAGACCTCAGAAAAAGTGTGCAAAAATCTCCCATTTTTATAAAGGAATTTCACACCATTGGATTAAACTGTTGGAGGATATAATAAGGACACTTTGATTTCCCAGTCTGCATGCACATCATTAGCTTATGTCATCACATATGTGATTGGCTCAGATGATGCAGTTAAGCTCTCTGAGTGGGTCGTGTGAGACATAATATCATCTTTGGTGTGTACATTGAAATCTATTCTACCTGTTGAATGAGTGTTGTTGAATGCTCAATTCTTGATCAGAATAATTTTTTTTTACAACAGCAGCCCTGACAGTAGCTTTCATACATACATGTATGTAACGTAGTTTATAATACATAATCATTTCTATAGTAAAAACCTACACAGAACTTGCATGGTGGACATTCCACATAAATTGATTAAAAATGTGTTTATCTGTTGATATGGAAGGAGTCTCCAGTGTCAGCACTTTGTAACAGTCAGCGGTAAAGCTGGAATGTTAAGTTTTCAGGACAGAGAGCTTTGTGGTTTTTCAGTAAAATGAGAAGCTTAGTCTTCTGTCTTATTGACTTCACGAGAGAGAGAAAAAGAGAGGCTGGTGAGGGAGCTACTGTTTATAGCTGCTTTAATGTAAGTGACAACAGGAATCAATTTGTTTCATGGATGTTCCACAACATGAAACGTAACCATAAGCAAATTAAAAAAATGTAATTGTTGGCTAATTGCTATGGTATAAAAGGAATAAAACACTTTGGGTTGTACTGTTATAGGAAAATAGTCTGGGTGGTAATGGCCCATCACATCACACCATCATTGATTATTTACATTATACATTTTATTATTTATAACCATACATCCTGTCACACTTTATTCCTTTCTGGTGACACTATTTATGTATTCTATACTTAACAATCTGCTCAGCAAAGCCTTTACTCATTATTATAGCTATAATACAGACTGATAATCTCTGATGTTCCAAAGCAATTGCAAGTTGAAAAAACTGGGAGAAATAATGGACACAATTAAGCTTCTTTTGAGTGAACGTATGGTCGGCAAAGAGGGAGGATGTGCTGTCAAGCTTCAAAAAGCCTGAAAAAAAATGTGCCTTTGATCTCAAAAACTTGTGAGCTTTTTAACTTTTTCTCACCATAAAAAAGCCTTTCTTTATAAATCTGCCCACACTGAATAAAAAGAGTGTCATCAGTGGCTGGAACTCTACCTAGTTCGCAGCACATTTTTAGTAAACTGTGTTTTTCACGTCTTTGCATTTCCAAACAATTCTGTAACTTATGTCCAGACATACTGTACATTCACAATAAAAAATGTTAAGACCTCTTACAGATGCAACTCCACACTTTGCTGGCTGGGGATCAGCTTGGAAATGAAGTCGGGAGAAAGCGTAGAAGGGTGAGGAAAAGCAGAGAGAGAACTTAAGAGGCCATTTAGACATGGAGTCGTCTCTGTGGACAGGCCAGGCAATGCTCCAATAAACAGATAATTATGCAACTCCCAGTGCCACTATACCAGCTTGTGAGTCTATTAGGAGATGTGATTGCGTTCAGCGCTGTTTCCCGTCACTGCAGCACCTCCACAAGCCGCCAGCACGCGGGAAAAACACGGCCTCCAAGAAGCTCACAACAATTAACTATCAATCAAGCACTGCCTCCAGGGGCTGCTGGGAGAGCGGGCACTGACCGCCAGATTAACTGAGCAACAGAGTGCGCAAGTACGTACTGACTAATCCATTTATTTATTACTCACATCCTTTAACAGCCATCCCACTCCACCGCCTCTGCCAACACTAAGGCTGATTAATTGTTCCAAGACGCTGCTTCAGCACAAGATGGCTCAATGAGGCTGAGTGTGTGTATGTGAGTGTGAGATGGAAACATCTAAGAACTACACTATATATCCAAGTTGTTTAGACAGCATAAGATAAGATAAGATAAGATAAGATAAGATAAGATAAGATATTTGTATCCTTACCTTGGGTAGCTATGTAGTGATTTGGTCGATGGTATCCCTGTAATTAAAAAAGAGAGAATTTAAAGTTATAAAATTAAAAAGATGGTAGAGCTTTATAACTTTATATGATTACAGTCAATTGGAATCATACTGATTCAAGATTCAAAAACTTTACAAGAACTTTTCCTTGTACAATGAAAGTTTTCTTGTTCTCACAGATGCTGCATTAGGAAGTAAAAGATAAATAATAACAAATAAAATAATAAAGAAGTAATAAAGACAGCCATTCCAGTTGTTTCTGTGCAATGCACTGAGGGAAAAAAAAAAGCAAGACTAAATTATAATTTAAATTACTATTGGAAAATGCAAACTGCAGTTGAGCTAGGACTTGTTCTACTCTAATATAATCTTGCTTGTTTTTTTGTTTTTTTTAATTAAACCGGTCCTTAAAAATAAACAATCACTGTCTTTAGGTAATGACACACATACACACACACACACACACACACACACACTACTGGTTACTACTGCTGGTTTTGATATATATTGTGGAATTATATTATGGAATAGCCTCAATCTCTGTGGGATTAAGCTAATCCCCTCATTTCATTTGTCGAGCATGGTGTGTCCCAGCAAGGGCTCAGTGTGCAGAAACTGAATGTTAAGGGGGAAAAGCTGTGGTTTCCACTTGTTCACAGCCTCCATTGTTGCCGTCATCTTATTCTTATATTCTTATCTTCACTATATGCAGTGCATCTTTAATTA